CTCTCTCTCTCTCTCTGTAAGTGTTTGAAGCTGACTGGAATGTGTAAACTAGATAAGTAGTGAATTACACCGAGTCTCTAAAAGATGTGGTTATATCACAGAGCACGGACACACACACACACACAGATATGACATCACCTAAGTAAATCAAGATGTAATCAGTGCAGTATGGGGTGTGTCCACATGAGGATCCATCTGTCTCTCTCTAACACAGCCACACACACTCCAGCAGGCCCCATGGCGAGGCTCCAGCCCCCCAGGTGTAGCCCCATGCTAAGACCCCCGGAGAGATTGGTGTTTCTCCAGCTCTGAGAGACAAAGTGGGGGGTGGAGGTGTGTATCTTTGTGTATTTTATAACAGAGTTTAACCCCAAGCACAGGGTTGAAGGACGAATGTGCAGTCTGTCAAAGTTCCTAGAACTAAAAGAAGCAGAAAAGGAAAAAAGGATTACAGGAAGAAGGAAAGAGATTATATTTGTTCGCTCTTTGTAACATGGCACCATCTTGGTCCTGTAAACTGAGCCTGGCAGACAGGACCACAGCCAGAGCCAGTCTGTCCTCTCTCATTGTAAGTGATTATGCAACAGGCTCTCTCAGCCAGGTGGAATTCATTTGTCACCATGAGACGGTTTTCACAGATTTCACAATAAAACAATCAAGATTAAGGAAACATCACGCTGCTGAATCACTTCCAGACAACTTCCCAGAAAGTTTATCGACCTGCTTCTGAAAACTTGTATACAAACTCAGTTAACCCTTTGAATGTACCCTTCGAATATGAGTGTTTCTCACTGTACGACAATATCACGTGTAAATATTTCGTAACTACTTCTCCCAACACTTCACTGAAGCTCTGCTATAATTTAAGATGTCAGGTTTTACAGCGGTGTTGTAACACAGATGTTTTGTGTGTGAATTACATTCAGCATTTAAATCTCTACAAAATAAAAACAATGTTACTTGAGACAAGACATGATTGCAAATATGGACCAAAAGATGGATCTGTTTCAGGATTTATGATGATTATCCACCCTTCCTTAGCTCAAAACCTTTGTTGTTTTATTATCTGTTCTGTCATCATGTCTTTCTTTATCTGGATTAGTGCCCTAAAGTACTTCAAGATAAACCCTAAAATCATCATTGTCTAAATAAATTTGACTTGAAAAGCACCTTTAAAATCCTTTGGCCTCAACAGGCCTGACATCCAGCCCACAGTGGTTCCTTGTGAGCGTGGGGTTGTATTTCCATTTCCGAGCAGTGAAAGTCATGAGCAACACACAACTTAGACACTGACTGACCTCATGGCCAGGAATTCTGGGAATCTGTGAGTAAATGACCCTTCATGTGTTTCCATTTAGTTTAGCAAACTCGCAGAGCCTCGGGGGTGATTGGCCGAAGAGAGAAAAAAGAGCAAAAGAAAATGCAGAAAAAACCCAAAATGTCAAAGAGAAAAAATAGTTTTAACAAGACTTTTGTGTGTTTACAGCTTGTATTTGGGCACAGAGATACACAACTAACAGAGAAAGGCATGAAAAAAGAGAAAAGAGGCGGTCTGATCAGAGAGATGAGAGGAAGTGAAGTGGTTTCCAGCTGTTTTCCTGCATCAGAGTAACACTGTAACCTGACTCATCCAGCAACAAGGAACCACCCTTCTGTTGACTTTTGACCTACAGTAATCGCTCTTTCCAACAGTTGAATTAAAACTAACCTTCTTTATGAGACAGTAGTTTTCTACTGACAGCCCGTTCTACAAATCCTACACACTGGTTCTTGTGTTGGAAGAATGTTTAAAGTTACTTTATGTCAATGATCGATCACATGGCTACATGTATGTAAAAGGGGTTGCTGTTCAGAGTGTTATAAAAAGTTTCAGCCCATTGTTTTGGTTCAGTCTCATCACTAACACAGCATCATTTTTAGCCCCAGCAGGCAGTTTAATCTGTTTTTACAGTACCTGCTCAGACACCGTTAGACACCAGCTGGTAAACATAGAGGAGATTTCAGCTGCTAAAGAGACAGATACTTTCCTCAAGAGTCAGTGGAGACCAAAACAGAGCTAAAAGGGAGTGAATATTATTGTTTTGTATAAGTGTGACTATATCATTAATAATATTTAGATAGATTATGAAAGTGAGGATATGTAGAGATTAGAAATAAAGCATTGCCAAATTATTACAGCACAAGTAATTTGATCACCCCTAGTTTCCATTTGCGCCACTTCAACAAAAGAATGTTTTTTTTCCTCTTTACTTTCCTTTGGTAACATGGTTAAAATTAGCCAACCCTCTCAGTTTTCCGTGTTGACCCAGGAGGCAGCGTTAAAGTGTCTTATGCTACTGGGTCTCCTCACAGACTGAGCTCTTTGCAGTTTTTCCAGCAGTGTTTTCCAGCGAACGAGCAGGCGGTTGGCAAGCAAAACAATGAATGATGTAAGAGGACCGAGGGCAAAATAACACAGGACGCGTAAATGTGTCGTTCCAGCCTCGAAATACTGAGCTATTAACATACACACACACACACACACACACACACACAGTATCACTTCCCTGGCTGCAGAGTGCTATTACATAAAGTCTGTCTCAGAGGAAGAACACATAAATCAACACCTGTACACAAAGGTTTAGACATATACCTTTCCACCATACACACACACACACACACACACAGATACACAATATCAACATGTTTAACCCATTCCCTCTCCCTCCCTCCTCGTACTCCCCATCCAGGGCTGAT